TCAAAAGTGTCTTCTTACCATCGTTAAAAAGCCTAACATGAAAATAGTTCCCAACATGTTAACATTTTTGTTTTGTTTAAAAACAGTAAGCATTGTGAAGTCTACTGTAATTTCTGTATATGGAAATTTTTCAAAAGAATTTCGAAGACAGTAAAGAACGTAAGCAAAACACAAATTGCTGCTATTGTTCATGTGTATAACCCGCCATGTTGTTGAACCAAAAATAAAAATGTCGAAATCACCGTCTTAACATCAGCTGTTGACGCTGAGGTAGCATCGGTGACAACCGATGATGAATGATGATCCTTGCAATCAGACACCAACCGCTTGCAAGTCTAGACCTTAACCCTTCCCCGATTTCTGAAATAAAAATGAAGCTGAAATAAAAACAAAGTTTGAGCATTACAGAGTTCATATTTTGCATTACTACTATCAATTGACGGAAATTGACATTTTAGCCTGTACACTGGAGATTTTGAAGATTCTACAAGTCTTTGTAAGAAAGGGTTGTCTATTGTCGAACAAGGAACAAAGGGTCTTTGGGCTAGTACCTTTTGATTCAACCGGCCTGGCTGCTGGAAGGCGGGGCTTCGTGGCACTCGCGCGAGAGAGAAGCAGACTGCATTGCGTGCGCGAGCTGCCTTAATTAGGTCACAAAGCCCCGCCTTCCAGCCTTTGAGCCAGTTGAAGCAAAGGTTACATATGATGATAAATATACTTTCCTTGCGATGCCAATAATTTGTCATCAGCATTTGCGCATGAAGATCGCCAGGGGTTTCGAATTTGAAATTGTGCATTCTGCCGGCGTACAGTCTATGTCATTACGGACTTCCTTGCTTGAAAACAACGCATCTACAGCGCGAGGGCCTTGCGTGCGGACCTCCGATTGATGAGACCAATATGAATGCCCAAGCCATACGCGCGCGAACTTAAGCGGAGCCCTGGCTAGGCGAATGTGAGATGGTGGAAAAGCGAGTACTGTTGAAGTGGATTGCATTTACTCACGCACAAATGGTGTCAGCGAAAGTCGACACCGCAGAAACACTACGCTTACCGTCAGATCTACCAGAGTAGACGCGCGCTGCAAGTACTTTTGCCATTCTTTCATTCCTATAAAAATGAAAGTAACAAAAAAGCACTGAAAAGGCTTTCTTTACATTTTAGAGAAATTTTTTCATATGCTTTTGAAACTAGCTTGTTCTTTCCTTACTTTACAAAACTGACAAAAAAGGAACGTTCATATTATCCCCATCAATGAACATTAGTTCAGGTTTATTGGAGCTTTCTTGCTGTGGAGGAGCGCGACAAGAATATTTTCTGAACGAAAGTGGCATTGACCACGGACCACAAAAAATTTCAGGGGTGCTTTTGAAAGTTTCATGGGCTAGTTCCGAAAGGAGCATGACCGTGAACACATTCCGAAAAGATTCTACAGAGAGAATTTGAATTCAATAAAAAAATTGAAAATTCTAACTATTTGTTTAGAAGTTCGCGATCCTTCTCAAGGGAAGGAGGGGGCGCCCTCCTCGGTCCACCAATACCTGTTCCTTATCTTATATCAGTACAGATCTCGGGACATATCCCATGATTAACACTTTCTCAGGGGAGAACCACAGCCTCGTTATCTCTTTACGTAGCACCACGTGACAACTAGAGTCACGTTATCTTTTGTGTGGGAATAGTCTCTAATCACGCTGCAAGGTTGTCACTTCGCTTCAAGATAATATCGCGGAAGCTAATTCGATGATCTCATTGGGAGGAGAAGGGGTGAGAACTTGTTGCATTTTCCGGGAAAGAACCTTAGCAGTCACATGGGCATGCTCTCGTAATCAGAGGGGGTTTTTCTTTTTGAACAGGAAACCCTTTCCGAGCGCATTTCGTTGTCGGGACAATTTTACGATAACACATGAGAATTTGACATCTAGATGACAAGAGCTTAGTGACGATAAACGGCCAAGAATCTTCTCCAAAAGAAACCGGAAAAGAACGTTCTGACTATCGGAAGTATGATCGGCTCCCAGATTCGTGTGGAGGTGTATTGCAGACTTTGCGTGATAACACATGTAAACTTGCTAAATCTCCACGCCATAGCATTGCTTTTCGTAATCTCTCGCTAGCAAAAACCGCCACGCGGTGAGTTGGCAAGACTCCACCTCCACACGAATCTGGGAGCCGATGATATATTATGGTGTGACTATTGTAAAGAAGTCTTAAACGCTTATATACAGTCTGTCCCAATCGGAATGAGACCAAACCGCTGGCGTTTTTTGCGCGCTGCAGCGTTAGGGATTTGCGCCTGTGCGCGCTGTCAGAGAGAGTAAAGAGATTGGAGAGAGAGAGAGAGCAGACAAGCTAGCCGCACGTGGCGCGAAACCCTAGCGGCGCGGATTACCGCCATGCCTTTTGGCCTAATTGGAATTGGGAGAAACTGTAAGTATGGGATGACTCAAAGTCGTAATTTGTTAGAAATCATTTTGTCGGTTCGGTCCGAATGCTAAATTGAGCTCAGACATGTATGCTCACCACTCGCAGACGTCATTGCCGCGCCGCTGCATGTTCCGCAGTGACGTCCTTGCGGCACCGCTCCATTGTTGCGGCCGTTCGCTTCGCCCCTTTGTTTTTCTTTTTTTTTTGTTTATATATCATCGCAACTCAAAGGCATTCTGACTACAATGCTGCGATATTCTTCGGATTCAAGTGATTGACTCATCATAGTGAGGTCCGATAATTTATGACTTCCTGATGCAATGGGGAACTGCTGTCTAGCTATCTCCCGCTCACATTCCTCTTAAATGTAGGATTTATGAGTGTACGAAAAGTCATGCTTGCAAAAACTGACTTCATGAGCCTCTTTTCCAAACTTTCATTTTACGCGCAAATCACATGACACTAATTAACAAACAGGTTCAGTGACGCACATCGTTTGATCGGCTTACTGGAGGCAAGAAAGACAGCTCATTTTAGGCTAAATTATCCACCTGACAAGAAGGAAGTACGAGTAAAGTGTCAAGAAGACGTAGTCAGGTGATTATTTATGATTATTATCGCCTTTTGGACTAGCAGTAAGGTGTGAATTTCGCACTACAGATCACACTCAAAAAGGAACATGAGACCTTGACTAAGGTCAACAGCGTTAATCATATTGTACTTTGACGTCAACATTAAGCATTTCGTACTTTGACTTTTCATCAAATACGGAAGATAAACGACTGGTATTATACCACTGTAACCGAGCTAGTCCAAAGGTAAAAACTAGGAAACAATACAAAAAACTCAAGGAAATTTTGTGCGATTTCGTGCAATTGCACATACTGCCGTACATTGAAACTCAAGCATACATAGTCGTTGCGCAGTAAGAAATTCTCGGGAACTCTACGGCCACTCATCTGATTGAAACGTTCCAGTGGAAGTGAAATGTGTTTGGCTAACAGATCGGCAGATAATCTCGTTTTTTCGACTACACTTTATTCTGCCGTTTCAACAAATCATGCCTTCAAAGCGACCAAGCGAACTGCATCTAATACCTTTTCCACTGCTGCACGAGCACGAATCCATCGGTAGCAGCGTTGCATGTTTCATGAAGAGATCACTTTTTGATCAAATAGCTCATACTGGGAAGCAAAACTTCCTCACAAATTCAAGAGCGTAACGATACTATGTTTTTGGCAAGGGTTGAAGCACGCGCGCACTTGTGGGCCAATGTGGTGCAGATTGTTAGGCTCCCGCCAGAGTGCCAAAGTTATGCCAGCGCTACGCCAGCATTTCGATCGATACACGTGTATTTCGTTGGGGACGTCAGCTAGCCCCGCCCCAACGAAATACACGTGTATCGAGCGAAATGCTGGCGTAGCGCTGGCATAACTTCGGCACTCTGGCGGGAGCCTTAGAATTAGGCGGCACGGGTGGAGGACTATATCCTGCCGGATTTGGAAGGGTCCCGCGTGGATTCCCTGCAGGAACGCATGTCCGCGTATGTATAAGGGTGCGTATTTGTCGCAAATGACCGCAAGGACCGCCCCTTATCGGCGACATGTAGTCCTCCACCCAGACGGCACCCATCTGCTCTTACCCATAACACTCTTAAGTCAATGGTGAGTTAATACCCTTCCAAATGTCTCAGCACTGGCAGATTTGTACTCCATTCTGCATTTTTTTCCGCATCTGAGCAATTCGTATATCTGAAAATTGACGTACAGTCGAGTAGATTTAGCGGTAAATATAGTGTGCTTGCACAGAAGGTGAAATGCGTGAAATTTGCGCGTGAACAAGTAGCCACGTCAGTACCGCGGGCATGTTGCGCGCGCAATCGGCCGGCGTCACAGTCGAAACTATTTCTTCATGCGCCAATTTTACCGCATTTCACCTTCTGTGCAAACACACTATATTTACCGCTAAATCTACTCGACTGTAGCTTTTGAATTGTTCTAGAGGATGCCACTTTACGTCATCCACGGTTGTGAAGGGTATATATTGGTCTGAAGGATTGCTTGGAAACTCGGAAAACGCACGTGTATAGTCTGATTTTGGGCAAATGGTATGGTGCTCTTGCATCATCTATAGCATTTTCGCGTAGAAAATGGCGATAGGGCGCAGAACTTGAAGATACAGTTCGGGAAATATTCTGCCCAATATAGTGTGCTGCGATGCCGAGGAAATGCGGTTAAATTTGCGCGTTAACAAATAGCTGCTCCTATAATGCCGGCCACTTGCGCGCGCAAAATGCCGGCCTTACTGGTGTGGCTATTCGTTGACGCCTAAATTTTACCGTATCTTCTCGGCACCGCAAGCTCACCATCTTGTACGGAAAATCTACTCAGCCGCAGCCCAATTACTATAGGGCAATAGTCCAGGCATCCGCAAACATTTCTAGTTGGATATGGTCTGGTCATCAGTTATTCCTCTATTTATTCATCCTTTATATGATTTGTGCTTCACATTCCTATTGACTTACATCTTACTTTGTTGTTCTATTCATCCTTTGGACTCATCCTCACCTCAAAATGATTTATTCTTTGTTTCTGACTGTCTCACGGTCTATCACGTTGCCCTCGGGACGTCACGTGCGCCCGCCCATTTTTCGGAACGCCCTCGCTGTGTACGTATTTATTTCTACGTTCCCATAATCGCACTCCAAGCACATTCTGTGTTGTGGAATACGAGAATTCTATAATCGCGTGTATACTACGTCCGTATAATCATTCCGTCTACTAATATGCGTGTCAGAAGGATGCCAAGACGAGGAATCTTCAATGACGTGCGGGAAAGCGGTACAGCACGTCTGATCTTCCAGAAGGACGAAGGGATTCTGATGGTGGGTTTACTTTCTAAGTTTGCTTTTTCTTTTTCTTATTTTTATAAAGTCTCACTGTTCCAATAAGAGAATGGAGGCAGATAGTTCCATTATCTGTAGAAACTGATTATCTCAAATGGTTGTACAATTAAAAGTGCAAGTGCAGTTGTAAATTCCTTTTGTGGACAGTCATCATTGACCCGCCATGTTGATTGCAATGCAATGCAAACGTTCGTGATGGTTCATAGAAGACGATTAGAGAACGATTAGCAAGTTGAAAATGTAAGGATTCGGACTGGTTTTTCTGGAAACGTCTGGGCTCCACGAAATCTGACTTTTTTGAATAGTGTAATAATCAAGGTTTATAGAAACAAAGCTCTAGCGTTGTATTGCTATCTTGTTTTTTTTCTTTACAGGCGATTGGTCATTACTTTACTAGTGGATCCATTTGTGTAGACATTTTTCGCATCAGAGCTGATTTCAACTTTTGCATACGGGTACACCTCAAGAACATTTGTAAGAAGTTCCCGATATGCTGATTTTGCACAAATGTCAATGTTCGAATCTTATCTGAAATTAAGCAACTCAAGTCGTGTTAGGCTTCGGACAGAGTTCAAGCGATTTCATCGTCGCGATTCATCGCTACAAGAAATGTTACGAGTTTATTGCATGCGATCTTCTTGTCAATTGTGATAGTTAGTCGCGATCAGTCGTGTTGGAAAACTATCACAACGAAATGCAAGAAGAACGGCATGCAATGATATTGTTACATTTGTCTTGTCGCGATCAATTGTGACGATGAAATCGCGTGAACTCTGGCCGAGGCCTTACCATACATCCTTGTCATAGTCCATAGTCATAATAATTGGTGGTTAGTCTCTCTACGTGCAGCTGCAACGAGCACGACTCTAATCGAACTGACTTCGACTGTTGATCTTTAGCTATAGTCGTCCTCCCCCCACTAGACACCCAGTGGACGAATTCGAATTTGAACTAGAGCACGTCGGTTGCGGCAGAGCGTGGCACCGTCAAATTCATTCCAAGCTCTTGCAGTGTTCTTTTGTATTTCTCGTCGTTGCATGGTAATTCATTTATCTCAATGGCGTCTGTAATCAGAATTGACGAGTTTGTTGTTGTTTAGCGATGTTTCATACCTTATGCTTCTCTCTAGCTCTATTTTCAAATAAAGTTGAAAAAACAGCACGAAACATCCCTCAAAAGCAATACAATCTCCAATCTCAATTAAGAAGACTGTTAGCATTCAAAAAATTGCATAAAACGTTGGAGAAATGCAAAGAAAAATTTTGAGTTCGAATGAAAAGCCGAATGTGCCGCGCTCTGCCGCAGCCAGAATGCTCCAGTTCAAATTTGAAATCGTCCACTGGGTGTCTAGTGGGGGGAGGACGACTATACTTTGTTTCTGTCGGATCTCAGTTTTCAGCAATCTTATTCTGTTCCTAGCGCAGATTTTTCGAATGTCTAATCACTGACATAATACACCATTTGCAATACTGTCTGATCAATCGCTGACGGAACGCATCAGGCATCCCCAAAACGATTTTATTATAGCAATTTTACTCTCGCGACAGCCCATAAAACTCCAGTTGCAGGGAATGCTTGAAACAACCACTGGTGGAACCCTATCGATTAACGGCAAAATTTCTGAGGGAAGCCCTGAACCCTCCACTTCCACTGATCCGTACATTATGGATTTCCTGATAGGTATGTTCTTTGTTCTTGCAGTACGCTTGATAGTTGGACTTCGATATTGAACTTTCACCTTCTTGTACGTAAGTGCATTGACGTAGCATAAGGATGCAAAATGATAGCGGCCCACGTGATTGATAGTGCGATCGCGATGGGTGTTCTTTGCATTGCATGCTGAGAATGTGCAATTCGTACTGCGGTAGATAGCTGGCTAGACTCCACTTTTTGCTTGAGTGCTGTAAAGTATGAGTGGAAATTTCTGGGCTGAAATATCACACTCCATCAAACTGCCAACGAGTCGCGTGGTTTTGGTGTTTTGTAAATTTTGAGGAATTCCGCTGTTCGTTTTTGCTTATGACGCTAATAGATGAGTATCAGAACTCCACGAAGTTAGAGCACATGATTGCTGTCAGACGGTTCTGCCTTAATGAGAGGGGTGTTAGAACTAGCTATTTACGTTATTTATTTATTTATTTTTATTTATTATGCATGAACTTCCTATGAGAAACAAGAACAAACGCAACAAGAACGAAAAACAGTCAACATAAAACAACAGCTACAAAACATCACTGATCATTAACGATTGCAAATAGCTTAGCAGAATACGTTTGAAGCCAGAAAGTTTACCACAAATGCCCATTCTCTTGTAACCCTATCAACATCGCTAAAACAAGACAGTAAAAAATTCTTTCTCACAACTAGCTTACATCTAAAAGTAATGTGCTTTCTCCAACCACCTCAGTCGTAGAGGGCTTGGTAGCATTTTCTAGGCGTTTTCTTTTGTCCCAGCATTTTCGCTTCAGTAATGTTGAATTGAAAAGAAGAGGGGAAACGGGAGCAGTATCTATTTGCTAGTAAGTGTTTGATCTTTTTTTTTTGTATTGGTGTCTTTTGTAGTGACACGCAATTGTAGTACATCGTTTATCTGTTTGACTGCAGCAAAAACTAAGTGCATCATCACATTTTTATGAGTGCTGGAAGCCAGCTGTTCAAGCCAATTGATTACCACTTACTATTAATCACACTCGTGGTTGCCACGAGTGTGACTAATAGTGGATGCCTTAGTTTTGATTGGTTTTTAATTATAACGAACTCTGGAGTGGAAAGATACCTGCATAGCAAACTTCGAACATCGAAAGGTACTACGTCCTGCTAAGATCTTGGAAAAGTGGGAGCAGAATTTTCAGATCAGTTCCGAAAATTTTTCTGGGCTTTCTGACCCGCTCGACTTTATTTTCGAGACAGAGACGAGATTTTACTGTTACAGCAGTTGATTTGACTACAGTCGAGTAGATTTCCCGCTTAATATAGTGTGCTTGCACAGAAGGTGAAATGCGGTGAAATTTGCGCGTGAAGAAATAGCTTTGACTATGACGCCGGTCAATTGCGCGCGCAAAATGCGAGTATTACTGGCGTGACTATTTCTTCACGCGCAAATTTCACCGCATTTCACCTTCCGTGCAAGCACACTATATTAAGCGGAGTATCTACTCGACTGTACAGCCTCCGCCCCCACTCATGGTACAGACAAATTGTGAGCGCACAGATCTTGTTTTACATTTGTACATGATGACTATACATCTTAATACAGACTTTGGATAGAAGAATGAGTATTGCCTTTAAGCCTTCCTCGTACAAACTACTTTTCATACGGTGTTTAGTAGTATGTCGAAGAGTCTGCAAAGGCAACGTTATTTGTTCCACTATTTTTTCTATTTGATTGGCAGGGCAACGCATTTGGACGAACTTCGATTCGGGGAGCAAAATGCATGCATCTGTGTCCACGTCACTCACTTTTTGCATCCTGTTTACATATTCTTTGTATCGAAAGTCATGGAGAAGAACGCGAACGTCTGCATACCGACTGTACTTCTGTGCATCTTATCAAAGATAAGACAGATCTGCTGCTTTTTAGTGCAAATTCTTGATTAGTTAAATTCATTCTTTGGTATTCTGGGGGTTTTTCTGGTAATTCTTGTGACAGACGGGAGCAAAGGTCTTGCTACTGATAATTTGATGTAAGCCTCACCCCCAAAAGGGCAACAATTTGAATTTAGCTGTCGACAAGACTTGCAGCCAGATGCGACTATTGCGTTGTCTATGATGCTGGAAACCAGGTGGTAGCAAGTGGGAGACACCTGCTCATCGCTAATGCTATGATGACGCAAATTTAAACTAGAGATCGCACGTGTATTGTGCTAAGTCTGCATCTCTCAGCGAATCAGGGTTTTGGAAAAGGTTTATGATTTCTTAGGATGGAAATGTCGGTCTCATCCCGCTTGGATAGCTTAATCTTCTTCACTCAATTTGCTACTGGTCATAGCAGTGAGCTGATTAATAGCGAGCGGATGTCCACTCAATTTGCTTCATCCACTTCCCTACTGGTCAATTCACTGATGCAACCAATGACGAAGTGGATCAAGTGGGTCAATAGTGGAAGCGTCCTAAGGGAATTAGCTTTTATTTCGAATCTCTGATGAGAGATCGATCAGCTTTTAGTGATCTTGATTTGGAATGCAGATAGGTGATGAAAAAAGGGCATCAAGAAAAGAAAAATGGAAGTTTTATGTGTACTGTAGTGATTTTGTATAGATTGTATAGAGACCGAGAGTGGGAAGAATCAAGGCGGATTAGAACCACGCCTGTCTGTGTTGTGGAAAAACGTGTAAAAATTACGATTTCTTGCTGAAATTAACTTTCTTTTTGCAGTTGATGGTGAAGAAGGTACATCGTACAAACTCGACAATATCAATGTTTTCGTCGAAGGTCGTAGTATCAGGATCGATAATCCTGCCTTGAATTTTACTTCTGAACGAAGAGTCAAAGGAGAAAAGTGAGTTGTAGTCAGCGGGAACTTCTCATAGTAAAATGAATCTGTTTTCAGAGCCGATGTAATAATACATCAATACTTGCAACCTGGAAGTATGGCTTTTGATCACAATGAAGTTTATGTGGGTGCTATGAAGGTGAGCTTTCGGTTATTATCTCACAGTAGATTGGACATTTCAGTGCAAATTATTTTCTAGCTCCATGTACTGACCAACGAATGTCCAAAGCAAGGTATAAGACGCACATCTGTCTGTTCACAAGACGTTCATTGCTCACGAGACGTAATTCTAGAGCAATCTGACGATTTTCTCGCCTAAAGAGGTGAACGATCAATAGTCTTTCTTTCAATGTCTTCATATTGATGTTCTTGCTTTCAATATCATTGAGCATGTATCTATTTCTCTGATGTTTTGTAATGCTCTGATTAACTAATACTTTGACTTGATCCATTTTCAAAGATTGCCACGTTTTCGTCTAGGTAAGGAATATTTTGCTTTAGTCTCTTCCATTCGCATGAGCAAATGTAAGTAATTATCAAATTACAAAAATTTTACCCTAATATATCATAATGAATGTTTCGTACCGATCTTATCGGGTCTTAAATGCTGTGTTATTCCGTAATAAAACTTTCAATCAATTTTTATGACTATCACAAGTTAAAAGTTGACAACATAAACAAATAGCTTGACAAAAAAAACTCTGTGAGCAAATAGAAACCCTAATCCTATGACAAGATCTATAAATAATCTGTGAAAGAAGTGCTGTGGCAAATCATCGCTTAAGCCCCTTCTGATTCGTCCTCCTTTTCCACCGGTCGCGGCTTATTGACACCCAAAGTGTTTGGTAATTGAATTATAACCGGTTCTGTATGAGGATCGGCAGCCGGCCGACTAGACAACCGTTTTTCTCGTTGTTCTTGGACTGACGAGGTGAGGTATGGGACTTTTTTCGGTTTTGGAAACCATTTCTTCTCAACATAATAACCAACAGTTCCTATCACTGCCGCAGCCGGTAATACCATCCATCGTGAGAATCGCATGCCTGTAAATTAAGAATATTAGAATTTTTCGATTAAATTATACTTGAACATCAAGCCAAAAAAATCGAACCTGGAACCAACGTCTACAAGCACTGTTCTATTCTCTAAAACCTTCAAAGAGCGACACACAAATTACACATACGAATTTTATAAAAATAGTGTTCTCAAAATACGGTTATTTTGGTTCTCCACTATGAATAGAAGGTGATATATTATCATATTGAAAAATCTGCTATCAAAATGCATCCGCAAAAGCGAATGCAAAAGCATATGCGTTCGGGGGGAATCGAACCCCCGTCGAATGCTTGGAAGGCATCCATGCTAACCATTACACCACGAACGCTGCGATAGCACTCGTTTCGCGTCGCCGTGGAGAATGTGCACTTCGTAGTTTGGTTCAAAAACATTTATAGACATTTATGAACACTTTGGTGTATAGTCAGAACTCACTTCGTAAAAAATGAAGAGAAGAGATCCGTCCGTGTGTAGAATGTCACCACTGCTCAAATTATGCGCGAAATGCTTTGTCTACCAATGAAAAAATGACGACTTTAGTCAAGACTATGAATAACATTTTCTGGGTAAACAAGATTATGATCTGTGAAGCCTAAGAACAAAAAGGCGAAGCCAAATCTCACTTTCTATAAGTGATCAGTCACATTGTTGTTCAGCAATTTGGAAATAATTGATCACCATCGAAAAAATAGTAGCGTAAAGAACGGTCACACCTGCACTAATGAATGAAATGCGAATATGGAGTGAGGAAGGGTTAGATACTGAAAATATTGGGGTCACTGAAGTGCCAAGTCAAAAGAATTTACAGAAAATACGTAGATTTTGTTGCGAATTCATGGACTGCGTGAAGAATGGAGCAAGAATCGGGTAGTTTTGCCACCAAAACATACCATAATATCGGGCTGGCCCGAATGTTCGTTCGCACTATTTTCAAAAATTCTCAACTTCTTACTTTTTTGAAAATTTTGCACAGTTTCAATTTTATTAAAAAAAAGGAAATTATGCGCTTTATGAAAGTTGGAAGGCTTTCTAATATGCATAAACTGCAGAGATAAGAGCTGTAGAACAAAATACCCAAAGTTTGGTTTTCTGTGTAGGGTTGCCAAAAATCTCAAAATTGCACTCAAATCGAAACAGTGATATTAAAGGCTGCGTGACCTGCATTTCTGATCTGAGAAACAATTGTCTTCATCGTGCCTTCCTTTGGAAAGTCTGATTTTCGGACAAGTAGTACAAAACGGAAAATTTGATTTTTTTGCGTTTTTCTCGAAATTCACAACTTTTGGGGCAAATCAGCACAAAATTTTCCCAGACAGAAGAAGCAGATCATAAAACTTATAAACCAACTAGCTGGCAAACCCGGCTCCGCCCGGGACCAAACTTTGCACACCCCCTCCGGGGTGATCAGCATGCTCGATTACCCCCCTGTGCGAAATCCCAGCCCCATAGCTCAAATTTTGCAAAAAATCGATAAAATCGATATCGATCGATAACGAAAAGTAGCCTATGACACGCTCCCTGCCCCGAAGTATATGTGTGCCAAGTTTGGTCCAAATCGGTTCAGAAATAAAAATTTCTATTCCGCACATACGTACGTACAGACAGACAGACAGACATACAGACAGACAGACATTCAGCTTTATATATAAGACTAGCGACCCTACGGGTCGCTAGTCTTATATATAAAGCATTGATATCTGCCATTAATTAACTAAAATCCCAAGAAAGAGAATTTTCATCTTCCCAGCGACCTTTCGCATGTTGTGAGTAGTAGAGACAAAACACTATGCTCCTAGGAAAAGAAGCTACTACAACTGACTATGCGCAAAGCATCTTTGCTGTTTTCTTGCACATACCTTTGCCCAGATACCACAGCTCTTAAACAAGGAAGCTACCTCGAAGCACTTGTTTAGAGCAGCTGATTCACCCCAAAACTCAGATTGATTTCCAGGAAAGTGCCATGTTAAAGGAAGCGTCAGTTTATGTTTTCCAGCAGCCAAAAACTCAGATATGTCTATAAAAACGAAGCAGCATTTTCTTCGATGATGTCTTGCCAGTGAACGGCCTCATTTCTTGAACAGAAGCTGGCCCAGCGCCTTCTTTTGAAGGACAATCTTACCGAAACTGTCCTGTCGTATAAAACCCTAGTTCTTTCCTTCCCTCGAAACCAAGCTCCTTATGCTTCCGCTTTTAGCAGAAGTATGGTTGAGAAGAAGGGTAATTTTTCCAGCAAGTTTCTGTCTAATCAAATATTGACACCTAAAAATTTCAGCGCAAATATCTTGCTGCCTGAGCCCTGAGTCTTTTCATCCCTCGAAACCAAGCCCCCTGTTTTTTGCTTCTAGGGACAAAAGTGTGGTTTTTGCAAAATTCAGAAGGCCAGAATTTTCAGCAAAAATGATTTCCTGTCGCAAGAAGCTCATGGGTCTGTCTTTCCCTCGAGACCACTCTTCTGTTTTCAGAGGCAGAAGTCTGGTTTTTGCAGAGTGGAGTGGCTACAAGTGAATTTTAAACAAGTTTCTGTAGAATACACATTGACACCCAGAAGTTTTCAGCGAAAATATCTTGCTGGCTGAGCTTATGAGTCTCTTTTCCTCGAAACCAAGCTATCTGTGCTGTTTTGCTTTTAGGGGTAGAACTATGGATTTTGCAGAGTAGAATGGCCACGAATTTCAAACAAATTTCTGTATAATGAAACATCGACAACCATAAACTTCTGGCGAAAACATCTTGTTGCCTGGGGCCATAATCCTTACTTCCCTCGAGACCAAGCTCCTTGTGCTTTTTTGCTTTTTGGGCCAGAAGTGTGGTTTTTGAGTCTTATGGTTTTTTGCGAAGTTTGGGAGTCAAAAGTCTTAGAAAATGTCCTGTCGGTTGAAACTCATGGGTCTGTCCTTCCCTAGAGACTAAATCCCTGTGCTTTTCTGCTTTCAGGGCAGAAGTACTGATTTTTGCGAAGTAGAAGGGGCCGAAAGTTTCTGTGAAAATGTCCTGTTGCAAGAAGCTCATGGGTCTGTCCTTCCTTAGAAACTAAATTCCCTGTGCTTTTCTGCTTTTAGGGGCAGAAGCACTGGTTTTTGCGAAGTCTAGGAGGTCAGAGCCTTAGCGAAAATGTTTGTCGCATGAAGCCTCATGGTTCTGCCATTTTCTCGAGACCTTGTTGCTGTTTTGCTTTTAGAGGAAGAAGTGTGGTTTTTGCAAAGTAGAAAGGCCAGAAGTAAATTTTAAGCAAGTTTCTGTATGATTATTGACACCCATAAACTTCTGGCGAAAATACCTTGTTGCCTGAAGCCATGATTCTTTCTTCCCCCGAGACTGGATTTTCTGTGCTTTTCTGCATTTAGGAGCAGAAGTACTGGTTTTTGCGAAGTCTAGGGGGTCAAACGTCTTAGCGAGACTGTCCTGTCGGATGAAGCTCATGGGTCTGTCCTTCCCTCGAGAGCACTTTGTGATTTTTTACTTTTAGAGGCAGAAGTATGGTTTTTTTGCAAAGTAGAAGGGCCAGAAGTGAATTTTTGAAGCAAGTTTCAGTATGAATAAACATTGACACCCAGAAAGTTTCAGCAAGAGTATCTTGCTGGCTGAGCTTATTAGTGTTTTCTCCTCGAGACAAAAGGGCCAGAAGTAAATTTCAAGCAAGTTCTGTATAATCATTGACACCCAGGAACTTCTGGCGAAAGTCTCTTGCTGACTGAGGCCATAATTCTTTCTTCGATCGAGATCAAGCTCCCTGTCTTTCTGCTTTTAGGGCCAGACGTGTGGTTTTTGAGTTTTGTGGTTTTTGCAGTTTGAGAGCCAAAAGTTTCAGTGAAAATGCCGTGCCGGATGAAGCTCATGGGTCTGTCCTTCCCCAGAGACCACTTTTCTGCTTTCAGAGGCAGAAGTATGGTTTCTGCAGAGTGGAAGGGACAGAAGTGAATTTGAGGAAATTTCTGTATAATTAGATATTGACTCGTAGAAATTCTTAGTGAAAATATCGGTACTTTTCCGTTATCCGGACCCATTTCTTCGAAAGGCCTCCATGTGATACTTTCTTTAGTCTAAGAATAATTTTTTATAGTTTCTACGAGGATCCTTGCCACGTGTCACAAAAAAATTGACACTTTTCGGTTCATTCTGACATGATTTTTTTTCGAAACCGTTTCCGGGGAGGTAAAAGAGAACTTGTAGTCATTTTTGATCTGTTTAATTGTTTTACATAAAAGCAAAACAATCCTGAATTTATTTTAGATCATCTTGCTTGCTTCAGTAGTGATTTAATAATGCTTTTCTCTTCAAACCCTTTTGGCCATGCGACTTTAGCCAGAAAAGACTATAAATGAAGCTTGAAGTCCCTTGCTGCCGCTTATTTTGCCTCTCAAATGATTTCATCTCACGCACTTCTCTATTCCGAGCAAGTCTAGTCTGTTCATCGTTAAGAGTATGTCGTTATTATTATGACAATGTTCACTTTGAAATGCTTGATCGAAATGAGGTTGAAATTGACTGCAAAACAGATTGAACGAAAACTCTTAGTAAAACCTGTTAAGCATGTAAATGACATTTTAAATTTTTTTTACACGTGGCAGAAGGTTGGCACTCCTTCCTGTAAAGCTGAGACCAAATATAGTACAAGGATGGAAGCAATGCTCTTCTTTGAAAAAATGGGTCCAGACAACGGAAAAGTACCGAAATATCTTGACGCCAGTGGCGGTCGCAGGATTTCGGACCGGGGGGGGGGCGACAAAAATTTTTTTCAAATGAAGGTGCGTGGCGTTAGCCGCGCACTCCGAAAAAATTTTTGGGGTACTTCTTTAAATTTTTGCGGGTCCCCAACCCCTAAAATCTGAAAAAAGGGGGCGTGGCGCCAGCTACGCTTCCGAAAAAATTTTTTTTATAAAGCTAATTTGAATTTTTAAAAAATTTTAAAAATTATTTCAATTATCTACATAAATAAGTCGTTTGCACATTTTTATAACCCATATAGGTAAGTTTCAAAAATTTCGCG